AACCTATCTGTATCTCGTTGTTTTAGGTTCTAGGACAGAAAGATGCAAACACAGTATCTGAAACTGATTTTTCTAATTTGGTAGAAGATGAGTGCAAGACAATATAGGTGGCATGGATATGTCCAATTCTCTCACACAGATGTCATTCCTGTTGTCCCAGGCAATTCAGAAGGGGAAAAATTCCCAAGGAAAATTTGGGGTTTAGATCCATCTTCATAATATTTCTATGGCCAATTCGAATCAAGTTCGGGAGCTTTTCCTTGGTCCAGGAATGTCAATGGCTGCCCTGCCGTTGACCATCTGTGTCTCTGTGTTACTTTCTTGATGTTTCTGTGCTCTTGGAAGTAAGTCCACTCATTCTCCTTAACTATCTCAACCTCTTTCGTCCCTTAGAGAGCGCATGGCAAGTCTCTTGGGAGTTGTTCCCAAGAGCTGTCATATTGTCTTAATTTCAGAAATGCTGCCAAGGAAAAAAGAGGGTCCAAGGCCATACAGAAGGTTCATGTGAGCCTCAATGGTGAACCCCACATTCTCCTGATTTGATGGCACAAAAGAATTCATGGCTGTATCTACCCAAATGAAAATAGGCAGCCTACTTTCAAATCAGTCTCATTGTATTCAGAAAGTTGAAATCTTTGTGGAGTAAAACAGCTGAGAGGAAGTATTACGTGTCATTTTTATATTCTATAGATCATTTGCTTTGACACCGGGGCCTCCCTCTTCTGTGGTTAATCGTTGAGAGTGTGGGCTTTGGTACTGATTGTCTGTGTGCCATTCTGGTTTCATCTTCTACTCCCTGGGTAAGGGTGGGCAAGTTTCTTTTCCTCTTTGGGCTTATTTCCTTATCAATAGAAGGAGAAAAATTGTGGAGACTGCCCTGCAAGGAATCATGAGCATTAAATGAGTAATTCACTTAGCACACCATAGGTACTCTGTTTGCTTATTGTGAGCAGGGAATGTTCAACTCCCCTTCTCTGGGTTGCAGATTCTGGAGACACATAAGAGGGTCTTGTTAAACTTATGCAGTTTATTGCTTCTGAAACCTTCATCCAATCCATACATTTAATGGGATTTAGAGTCCCAAGAGTAGCACTTATTAACCTCTAAGGCAGCTGTGAAAATAAGCACTGGTCCATGTGCCTGAGGGCAGACAAAATTCAGAAGGGTAAGGGGAACCTAACAGAGATCACAGAGTGAGATAACACCTCATGTTTTATTTGGCTTCATAGAAATCTATGGCCATTGACAGGTGAGTGGCCAGGTGGGAAAGAGGACAGTTGCTGCTTTTGCCATTATAACCTGATCCTTCTGTTCCCAGCCACTTCCCACCTGCAGCACCCCATACAGCAATGTATCATCTAGGGTAAATGTGAACTGGAGCCCATGTATTGCTGAGGGTCTCTGTGGAGGTTTCTGGAGCCCTGAGAACTTTTTCTTAATTATTTAATTTTTAATATTTAATACATTCATGTGGTTTAAATATTAAAATATATAAGTAGGCATGTAATGGAAATTCTTCTCCCTCCTCCTTCCTCCTAGTCCTCACCCTCCCTCCCCATTGGTAAGCCTTATTATTAATTACATATACACCATGTCAAATTTACAGCAATGGTTGCTAGTAAGCAGAAGGGGCTTACTAGCATGTGAAGGGCATGTGGCATGTGAGACACTAAGGGCTCTGAAGCCAGAAGGGCCTTGCACTTGGTTTAATGCGTTGCTGTCACCACCTTGAAATTCTTAATAATTTTGAAAACCCATAATTTCATTTTACAATGGGTCCTGCAAATTATAGAGCCTACTCTTCACCTCGCTTTTTTACTTAAATGCATGTCTTAAAGATCTTTTCATTTTTACATATAAAGAGCTTTCTCATAAAAAAAAAAAATTTACCTAGTAGTCTATCCTTGAGAATTAAAAAAAAAAGTAAAGCAAATCCAAAACAAACAAACAAACAAACAAAGCTATATCCATGGCTATGTTAGGAATTCCTTTAGGGTTTCCTGTCCTCATTTTCTAGCACTTCGATGCTGCTAGTCTTGGAGGAGAGAAAGACTGAGACAAGCACCACAGGGACTTTCTCTGTCTGAATCCCTCACGCTACCCATGGTTTCGGAAGCCCTTGGAAGCAGCTCCCAGTTCTTTAGCGGCTAACTGGCCACGTCCCTGCTGCCCATGGCTCCACCTTTCCCACCTTTCAGCACGCCCACCCCTTGTACTGAAAGGCTGGGCGAGGAATCATCTGGGCTCCATCAGTCACAGTGACTACCACTGTCTTTGACTCAAATCTGGAGAAAAATACTTTGTGCTGAAAGACACAATGGCCACCAGAGATCCATTTTTAGAACTCTTCTTTCATTCCATCTTCATTCCTACTAATCATCATTTCTGGATAAATCAGTGGTCATGGCTCAACAATTTGGCTGCTTTTGATACAATAGTGGAGGCCCTCCCTCCTAAGGAGTCCCCTGACTGTTAGAAGGTACCAGAGCAGTGTCAGAAGTCTGTAACTCATTTTGAAGCAGCCAAAAGCTCTGGCTCCATTACAGGTCTGTGTCCCTGAAGCCCTTCTTGGAGTTAAATAGGAAGGCTCCTCACTCAGGAAACAGCCCCCCACATTGGAAGTTGCCCCCTGCTATCGTGATCTGAGAAGTGTCCCTTTGGAGAGGCAGAGCATGAAGTCCACATTCTCTGAGAGGCTGGTGCTGCTGGCTTTGTGCATGAGCACATGCCCTGAGGGACCCCCTCTTGTGGCTGTGGTTTGCATTTGAGTGCATGAGCGCAGGACCTTCACTCTAAACTTAGTTGTACAAGGGTAAGTCACAAGGGTGGGGGCAGCCGTCCTGCTGAGTCCAGTGAGATGGCGGCAGCTGAGGACAAGTGGTTGCCATCAGACCTGGCCGTCCAACAGCTGGATCATGCATGTAGGGCATTTGTGCAGTACAGATACACTCGTGAACGGGGAGCAGAGTTAATGGAGAGGAGACCCACAGTCTCATTATGTTATTGCTTGTGTTCCTTACCAGGCCAGAGAAACCACAAACCACCCAATGGCTTACATTTCCTTGTTTCAATCAATCCATGCCCTTGGCACCTGAAAGGAAGATTAACTAGATGCTAAAAATGCACTTTTGGAGGCCAGTTCTTCTGCCAGGGAAAGCTTCCAGGTACCCCGAGACTTCACTAGGAGAAAATAGGCTACAATTCCAATTAAACACCATATTGAGACTTTGGTCTCAGTACACTCTATTTGTTTAGTTTATTTGAATATTTGATAAGAGAAGTGCTGGGGTGGCAAAAAAATTAATTAAAATAAGAAAGAGTGATCTTAAGAGAGAAAGTGTGTGTGTGGGGGGACCTAAGAAGCCATACATAGTTTCTCCTTACACCTGCCTGCAATTAATTAATCGCTAATCTGTTCATTACTTCCAATTTAAGAATCTCTGTCCCCTGGACCAAAAAAAAAAGTTTTAATTTTTGAAATGTCTAATTAACATACATTGAAAGACAATCTCTGAAATGGGTTTGGCTAGTGCTATGCACATCGTAATATTGATAGGAGTTGCTGAAGGCAGGTTGAGGCTTTCTGGAATTGGAGAAAGCTCTTCTCATCAAGAGAGGCTTTGAGTCCTGTTTTCTCAGAGCTCACCATGTGCTGTACTTTCTAGGGTACCAGTGGGTAAGGACAAGGCTGAATATTGCAACCATCTCTTTTGCCTCCATGGGGTAGGTGGGAGGTAGGGGAGAGGGGGTTCCCTCCATTGCCATCCTGGGCTTCTGGTTGGAATTTATATATTTACAACAGCCGTATTGGGATATAGCTCACATACTGCCGATTTCACCCTGGATTATATTTTAACCCCATACAATTAACTCGGGAAAATGCCGTACCTCCCTTGAGCTGAGAAAAGACTGAATTCTAACAGAGCCTGCCCTCCACCTAGGGCTGAGACCAAACATCTTGTCCAGCCCACACAGCTGTGTCTCCCCCTGTTTTTCTATTACCTGCTCCCCCTTCTCCACTTTAGCAGCTGAGAATTTTTACCCAAAGTGATTTATGGTCGTGTTGTGTTGGGACGGGTCTGACACTGATTGAATCCCTTATCTCCCTCCTGTGTCCTCCTGGATGACAGCCACCCTCTCAGGTATCAATCAGTGCATCAGCTCTCTATTCCTGGGTGAGCCAGGGCCTGTCAGGGATGCCTTGTGACTGTCATCTTTATCCAGGCTGCCACCTGCCCTGCGTGGCTTAAAGGGTCTTTTTAAGGCACACAGGGGAGAAGTGCACAGAGTGCTCCCAGCCATGGCGGCCACAGCTGGGGCTGATTCCCTGTGCTTTGGATAAATTTTGGGGAATACAGCCTTTAAAAGGCAGCACAGGGGACATTCGCTTGTATCAGCTGCACAGCCTCCAAATCCCTGTCAGGAAGTTGATGGGTGTGGTGACAGCCCCACCTGGCAATCCCCCACCGCAGCTCTGCCCGAGTAAACATCAACTCTAGGTCCTCTTGGCAGGTGCTCTTTGTGAAGAAGTGAATGAAGGACATACAATTGAGGTCAGACAGAAAGACTCCAGATGATCGCAGGAATGGAGGGGGCGAGGTGTAGCCCCTGAAGGCTCCTCGGGACATAACAACACGGGAGCCCGGGAGAAAGAAACAGAACTTCTGTCTAAGCCTGGCTTTTGAATTGGCCCCAAATGCAGTGACATTTTCTTTTTTGGCTGCTTTGAAAAAGGAGGAGAGGAGAAAATGTAGACTGTGACATTAAAGATGGATGGGGCTTAGACAAATTGAACAGCTTTGAAGGTTTCCCCAGTGCTGGGAAGGCGGAGGGCAGGCTCCCCTGCACACTTCTGGGAGAGGCAGGCTCTCTTCTTAAGCCCAGGGAAAGCTGCATAATGAAATGGCAGCTCTCAGCCCGACCCCCGGCTACAGGGAGGTTTAATATTTAACATCCTCTTGGCTGGGGAGTGCTCTGTGCTCAGTCCCCCCCACTTCCGGTTGACATTTGCAATGGAAGCTGTCAGGGCCCCTTGGAGGTGAGAGGTTGGGCCCCAGGGCAAGGCCATGTTCTGAGCTTTCTGGTCTTCTTTGGAAAGCATTTGTGGAAAGCCCTTGTCTAGCAGAGACCATATGTCCTGGGCTTGGCTCTGCTTTTTTGCGGGTGTGTGTGTGTGTGTGTGTGTGTGTGGGGTACTAGGGATTGAACTCAGGGCCACTAGACCATGGAGCCACATCCCCAGCCCTATTTTGTATTTTATTTAGAGGTGGGGGGTCTCACTGAGTTGCTTAGCACCTAGCTTTTGCTGAGGCTGGCTTTGAACTTAGGATCCTCCTGCTTCAGCGTCCATTGGGATTACAGGTGTATGTCACCTTGCCCAGAACAGAGCTGTGCTTTTAACTTTGAAACAGATTCCATTGTCTGGCTCCTCTGCGTGTGAATGGCATCCTGAAGGAGCAGAAATCCCATTAAGGAAGAACTACTGACCCATCTGTCTCGTGTTGTCTCTGGACTAATGCACCATTTGTGGTCCATGATTCTTTAATGGGAGAAGTCATAACTGGAGAAGAGAGATTAGAAAGAGGGATGAGATCAAGGCTGCATGTGACTCTGAATGGCAAGGACTTGAAGGTCACTCAAGCCCATCAGTTACCCCCAAATGGAGACTCTGATTCTATCATCCCAGAACTGGGGTCCAGAGCCAATCTAAGCTGTGTGTTGAATTCCTCTTTGACATCCCATAGTCTCCAGGCTGGCACCTTCTAAGATCTGTCTACATAAGGAAAGGTTAAAAACCAAAGGAAACCTGGGTGCTGGCGGGGCTGAAGCCCAGGCTCGTTCACAGGAAAACACACAGACCCTGATAGGAAGCAAGATTCATGAAGAACTAAAAAATACCCATCCTGGGCTGGGGATGTGGCTCAAGTGGTAGCGTGCTTGCTTGGCATGCGCAGGGCGCTGGGTTTGATCCTCAGCATCACATAAAAATAAAGATGTTGAGTCCACTGAAAACTAAAAAATAAATATTAAAAAAAAATACCCATCCTGCCTGAATGCCACACGTAGGTGCCAGTTCACAGAGGTCCTAGCTGCTGCTGGCTGCACAAAAAAATTCATGTAGCACACAGGTCAGATGGAATTTGAGTGGCTTTTTGATTATTAGTCTAGCTGAATTAACTTCTCCTGCCTTTGGGCTCTGCACCCACCACGCAACAACACAAATTGAAAAAGTGGGGTGGCAGGCAGTGGCAGTGGGGGCCGTGTTGGTGAGGGGACCATGGGGACCTTCCATCTTGTTAATGTAACACTTCCTTGTGTGATGGGAGCTGAGCGCAGCCTGTAATGAATTGCTCCTCTGGTAATCATTCACCAGCTCATGGTGACCCGGGTGTTTTTGCTGTGCTACACATTTCCAGACTTTCACAGTGACTTGTCAGCACCTAGTAAAAATGATTTGGATGCGACCCATCTCTTCGTGAGATGCCCTCCCCAGCTGCCTTTCATCTCGGTTGAAAGAAGGAGTAGGTGGGACCACCTGGAATGGAAACGGTAGACTCCGGAGCTGTGGTGTGATTCCAAGCCCATCTCATAGGCAGATGAACGCAGGCATGCCAAGTCTGTGGCACTCACGCTACGCTGAGCCACGCTCTTTGGTCCAAATGGCTCCAGAGTGGCCTCTGCCTTTTGCACCTGTTGTTCCTTGCTGCACGATGATCTCTGCAGGCAGTTTCTTTCTTTGCGAAGGCATGGGTGCAAATGGTGCTAACAATTAGGCATCTGGGCACCCCATGGGTTCTTACCAACTCTGGTGTGAAGATCCATTGATGGCGGGGGACAAGGCTATCGTCTGAGTCACAAGCGTGAGCGTCACCATCTGCAACTGTAATTCCAGCCACGTGGTCAATTGTAAGAAGGGGTTTATAACCAGCTTTTACTGCATTTGTGGATCATGATGATTAAACAACAGATGGGAAACCCAACCAAGATTTCTAATCTCTACCTCTCCGCTGATGGAGGGGGCGAGGTCTGGGGGCATCATTTCGTGGCCTCTCTCGGTGGCAGAGTCTATAATTAGGGCAGGCACTACTCCTCTGATTTTCTGCCACTGTTTTGTACACTCTTTGTTATCAGACCATGGGAACTAATTTTGGGTTTGGAAAATATGGCCCCCTGCATCCAGGGACGGTCCTAGGAAGCCCAGGGCTAAGAGAAACTTCTTAGCTAGGCATACCAGGAATAATACAGAACACCCAGTTAAATTTGAATTTCAGATAAACAATGAACACATTTTTAGTTTAAGTATGTTCCAAGTATTACATGAGAATTTTAAACAAGAGGCTTTTCAAAAATAAGCAAGATGCTTTTACATTTTTACATGACATAAAATTTATCATTTTGACCATTTGAAGTATACAATTCAGGAATAGTAGGTACATTCACAATGTACACTCACATTGCCCCTATCCATTTCCAGAACTTTTTCATTATCCCAAGCTCTATACCCTTTAAACAATAATTCCCCATTCTTTCCTCTGCCCAGCCTCTGGTAACCTCTGATCTTCTCTCTGTCTCCATAAATTTACCTAGTCTACATGCCTTTTATAAATTGAGTCATAGGATGCCTGTCCTTTCATGTCTGGCTTAATGGCATAACATTTCAAGTCCATCCATTTATAACATATGTTGGAATGTCATTCTTTTTAAGGCTGAATAATATTCCATTGTATGTATTTTTGTTGATTCATTCATCTGTTCGTGGGCATGTGTCATCGACTTTTGGCTATGGTGAACAATCTGCTATGAGCGTGGACCCACAGGTATCTGTTTGAGTTCCTGCTTTCAATTATTTTGGGTACATAGATCTGTAAGTGGAATTGTTGAATCGCATGGTAATTCTGTTTAACATTTTGAGGAATTGCCATATTGTTTTCCATCGTGGCTGCATGGGACATTTTGATTTGCTAAATCTGGCAACCCTCCAACTGTTTCAACAGAATTTTAAATTGAATATTTTATTTAACTAATTATCATATTTAAACAGAAATCAATAGTGACCATCTCCATGTTGGAACTCGTGGACATAATTTCTCAGTTCAGACTCTCAGAAAGTTATTTGCACATTTTCTACTATGCTGAAGCACAGGGAGCAATAAGCAAGTGCTCAAACACTCACCTTTGAGTCTGAACACACTGGGCAGCTTGATGACTTTTAGAGGGTGAATTTATACATCATTAATTCATTTAACAAATATTTATGCACGTGCAGTGGTATCAGATGAGAGTTGAGTGTCCCAATGCAAAAGGGAATGAGATGTCCTCCTTACCCCCACTGTTCCTGGGCTTCTACCTTTGCACAAACCAGCTCTTCTGCCTATTGACTGCCCCATGCTCTTCCTGCTTATGCAGCTCACCTAGGATGTTGGCTCCCATGAGAAATGATGCTCAGATTTCTACTTCTTCACACAGCTCTCTGCACTTTGATTGGCAGCTCCTGCCATGATTATTAGATGTGTTTATGTGGTAATTTGATTCGCCTGTGTCTGTCTCTCTCTCTCTTGACTGTAAACTTCCTGAAGACAGGGACTAGGTCATTTTGTGTTTCATCTATCATCTCCTAGCTCCTAGCAAAGCACATTATAGGCATTTAATATAAAACATGTTGATTATATAAATGGATATGGCATCAATCCCTGCCTTAAAATATAGTGGGACATAGACAGGTACGCATGACAATGCCTGTGGAAGTAGACAGTGAAGGGTTCTGGACAACAGAGCAATTCTGCTGCTGGGAAGCGAGGTTGGGAACCAGTCCCAACCCAATAGAAACCACTCCTGGATGTCAGAGCTGGGGGCTCAAAGTTCATTCTGCACAAAAGCCCATTTTACAGATGGGAAAGCTAAGATGTGTCATGCCTTCCCAAGGCCACACAGTTAGAGGCAGAACTGAACCCTGACTTCCTAAGTTCCCAAGAACCTGTCACTGCAGGTTTACCAGCCGTGCAAGAGAGCCTCCTGTCCCTTCGGCATGTTCAAGTTCAAGGGGACTTCAAAACCCTGTAAGCTTTCTTGGAGCTCCCCCAGGCATGGCAAATATCTGACTGGAAAGAGAAACACAAATGCTCAAGGGGAGGTGAGATGAGGAAACAGGTGAAGGAAGGAGGCCAATCTGGAAAGGCTGCACGCTGGCTCTGGAGCTTCACCCTGTCAGGGCAGGTGGGCAAGGCTGGGCCATGTGGACCCCAGCAGCAGCAGGCCCAGGGAAAGGCTGCACTTCAATTCCCAGTGGAGGCTGTCAGGGGCTTTGGGATGAGATTTATGAGCTGAGCCGGTTCCAAACCACAGCAACCTGGCTCTGAAGCGGTTCTGAGACACCTGGGGAGCTATGGAGGCTGCGGCTTGCACCTTACAAGGAAAACCACACTGTTTCCAGGGGAGGCTGCTTCTCCAGGTGGAGGGCAGTTCTCATTGGCTACAGCTTCCAGAGTCTGCTGGATTGGTGAGGGGTTCGGTGAAGTGGGTAGAGCTGAGCACCCCAAATCCTCACAGCTCTAATGCTGGGCCCCGGGACTGAACCTCTCTTAGTGGAGGCTTTCTGTAGAGACTTGGGTGCCTCTGATATGCAAGTGGGCCTGGCAGCCAGAGGTCAGGGCTGGCCTGTGTGGGCTCTGCATAGGCTGGGTCCTCTGTGGAGAGGGGCCCATGCTACTCTGATGTCACTTGACATCACAAGTAATGAGAAAGGTGTCAGATGCTCTCTGCCAGTTGGGACACATTTTCTTAGCAAAAGGGTGTCTCTTACAGAGTGCTGGTAACCCTGCAGTGACAGGAACAGCACACACACACACACACACACACACTTCCTTTCAGAGAAAGGAGAGGAAACAGGTGTCATTCTCTGGATAAGCTGTGAGGCAATTTGGCTCAGGGCTCCCTTGGAGGTCTCTGACTCAGGTCTCCAGAGAGAACTTGGAAGGCACATACTTCCGCCAGGAGACTCCTCTCAGCATCAGTGAGAAAACACCAGGAATGACAAGGAGAGTTGGGGAGCTGCTCGGGAGGCTCAGGAGTTCTGAGGTGGGAATTCAGGGCCAAGCTCTGCCTTTGCCTCAGCCTTGGGCGGCCATTGGGCTCTTAAGACCCAGCCCATTTTGTTGCTGATGGGAATGGGTGTGCAAGTAACCATGAGGCCCTTGGGTGGGTGGCAGGGTGGCTCTGGGGACCCCAGGTACATTTTCTTTTCTGGCCACCACACTCCCCCTAACCCCCCACCTCACACCCTGTTTCCTGGGGAAAACCTTGGTCCCAGGAGCTCTATTTGGCTCAGCCTGGGATAGAGCCTGAAGCTTTTGAGAACTGAAATAGTCATCTTTCCACTTCTCCAGGAGCCCCTCCCGCACTCCAACCTCACCGCCAACGTTGAGGGGCAGAAGCGGCCTCAGCGTCCAGATGGGTCCTGTTTCCCTCAAGGATGGGCCTGTTCCAACTGCATTTCACTGGCCTGCCTGCCTCCCCTGAGGGTTGTGTAAACATTTCCAGAAGATACAGATAAGAAGAAGAAGAAGAAGAAAGATTTATGTAAACACTAGATGCCTAGGGACTAGAAGTATTATTAGTTTATTAGACTTTTTAAAATACCCAATAACTCAACCGAAGGAAAGAAAAAAATGTGCTTTCGTTTTAACTTCTCTTGTTGCTTGGTCAGGAATACCGGAGAACCAGGCATCTCAGGAGCCTGGTGACAACGCAGATCACTAGAGGGGCAAGAAGGGTCCATGTAGAGGTTTGTCGGTGGTGATGTCACTGGCCCATGAGGAATGGTGGGGTAGGGCTCCCCTTCCATCAATTCAGAAAAGCCCAAGAGTGGGGCAGGTTGGAGAGCACCCCCAACTGCAGCCTTCGGGGTGTTAGAGTCTGTAAACAAGTCAAAAATAACACCTGGCATTTTGCCAGGGGAATGTTAGAGTTCGTAAACAAGTCTGGATGGTGCCTGGCAAAATGCCAGAGGGAGTGGTTTGAGAAGTAACAAAAGCGAGCCATTAAGTGTGGAGATTCCTTATTGGTTGACTGATGTATCTAGTTTATGCTAATTAGATAAGCTCTGTGGAATGTATAAATACTGCTCCTGTCCTGCAATAAACGGCTCCTACTCCTGCTGTATCAACGTACACAAGTTATTCGTCACCCCCCGGTTATTTTGCTGCAGCCGTACCCCCTGGTTATTTTGCTGCAGCCGTACCCCGGCACTTCGGTGCCCTGTGGCCTGGTTCTGACCCGACCCCTGGCACTTCTCCCTCGTTGATCACGTTCCTGTTGCTCTGTGTTCCCAAGATCCTTTCCATAGCACAATCTTTATACGTTGCGCATTCAATTTGCCAAGCTTTTCCTGGGCATCCTGCTTAGCTCACCCCTCCTTATCCCTTCAGGCTTTAGGTTAGGTATCACCTCCTTTGAGAGGCCTTCTGTGATTGTCCATCCAGAGGAATGATCCTAGACTGATTTCTATTGGAGCTCCCTTTAATTTTCTGATAGAGCTATTATCACACGGACTGGGACCAGAGCTTATTTTACATGTTTGTCCATTTGCTTTCTGTCCTCTTGACTAGAGTGTAAAATCAAAAAATATTCAAAAACTTTTCCTCAAATAAATTATTCAATCAGATTTCCTTTCAGGCGTGAATGATGTGGGACAAGTTCAGCTCTGGCTTACAGCTTCCACAGGGAGGGGATTCCTAGTCAAGTTTTTCCTCCTCCTGGCCTGGGGACTTACTATGCTACCTGGGAGTATACCTGGCCTCCTTTCACTATCACTGGCCAAATTCTGGTTTGTTTTATACCTACTAATCTTAATCACTCTCTGAGGACAGGATAATTTAAATTTCCCCTAGACCAGTGGTTCTTAAACTTGAAAGTGCATCAGAATTTCCTGGTGGACTGGTAGAAACATAGATCCCTAGGCTCTGCCCCCTGAGCTCCTCATTCATCTTGTGGGATGGAGCACAAGAATATGCATCTCTGACAGGGGCCCAAGGGATGCTCCTGCTGCTGGTCTGAGACCACACTTTAAGAAGCACTGTCATAGATGTTGGAATCTCCAGACATTGACAATTTAGAGTTTGAGTAGAAAGATGGCCTCAAAGATTCTAAAACTGCAAGGCCTGGCAATGTTGAGAGAAGAGGTATGTTTGTAGGGATCATAACTTGTGAAGTCTACTAGGTAGCACTTAAAAAGTGGCCCATCTGGCCAGATAGCCTGTTACCCATCCCCATAATGAAATGAAATGAATGAAATATATTCATTTTATAAAAATCCAATCAGCCAATCAACCCACTGACTCCAATGTTGGGAAGCATTGTCTCTTAAGGGATGAGTGTGTGGTCCCCAAATTCATATGAAGCTGTAACTCCCATTGCAGTGGTATCAGGAGGTGAGGCCTTGGGGCAGTATTGGTTTACATGAGGTTGTAAGGGTAGGACCCTCATGGAAGGGGGGTTTAGTACCCTCAAAGGAGGAAGATGGCCAGATTGCTGTCTCTACAGCAAGGCCAAATGCTACCCACAAGTTAGGAAGAGGCCCTCACCAGACCCTGAATCTACTGGTGTCTTGAACTTGGACCTGAAGCCTCCAAAACTGTGAGCAATGAAAGTTTAAGTGACCCAGACTGTGGTTCTCTTATAGCAGCCCAAGCTGATGAAGCCAAGGTGTGTCCCAGGACATGAGGCTTTCAGTGGTAAAACTCAGGAAAGTCTCCAGCATGCTTGGACAATTTGGTCACTCGAATCCCATGTTTCTTTGTTTCCAATAAAGAAAATGCAGAAAAATGTCTCTGGTATAATGTTTATTTAAATAGCAATCTTAAAAAGGCTTTATACAAATCATATAAACACAGTTTGACATTGTTGTTTATTTTTTACATTGAAGAATCACAGTAAAAGCTCTCAAGTTCCCGTGATCTGGCTCAGCCAGCAAATGGTCGAATACCTTTAACTGCAAATCCAGGAAAAGTTAACCTTCTGTATGACAGTTTAACTTTTCCCCTTGTTTCCTTGTCATTCATGCTCATTCCGTGGACCCTCATTCCTGTCAACTCCCCAAACCCACCCAAGAGAGAAAGCAACCCTGTGGCCCTGTTGACCGCCTAGTCCAGGAGAGCATGGAGGTAATATGTCATTCAGTACAAGGCAGAAAAGACATCAATACTGTGAGTTGGGCTTCCCAAAGGGAACAGTTCAAGGAAACGGGTCAGCTAGCCTACCTGCAGATAAAGAAAACAAACGCACCAAGGTGTCCCCTGGCCAAGTTAGAATCGCACCCAGCTGTCTTCCTTCAAGTCTTACGACAGACCAGCCTCCAGCCTTGGTGAGGTATCTACATGTAGCCCTGGGGACCTGCTTCTGTTCAGCACACAGAGCCCAGTTAGGGCCTTAAATCAACCAATGGTGAATATGGATGCAGGACTTTCAGAGAGATGCAGGTTGAGTTGTACATAACTTACAGGTGAATTGCAGGCCTGAGACAGGGCTGGTCTTTGGAAAATCATAATAAAATGGCCCACTGGGCTGGAGAGGGCCAGGACTCTCAGTGAGGGCTTTGAACTTCTCTTCTTCTGTGGGCTGCTTCTGGAAATCACTAGGACTCCCAAGCTTTCTGAACACTGAACTGCATGAGAGGGTGAAGAGGAGGGTGAGCTAATTAAAAACTTTGCTTCTACTCTATGCCCGACTCAGGGGGCACTGAACACTAAGCCCTTGGGGCTTGACAGCTTTTCACCTCTAACTACCACTGTGCCAACGAGTGCCGAGATCAGCAGTTATACTCGGGGGCCCTAGGTCAAAGTCACAACACCACCACTGTGTCCCACATGACCATTCACATACACAGTAGATACAGAGAACTCAAAGGCGCGCAAAGACACACACACGTGAATAAATAGCGGTCCGTATGAACTCTCCCTCTCTGCGTACAAGACACTGTGACATTACTATCTGAACTAGCATTTTCACGAGTTAACATGTAAAGGAACCAGCCAGTCCCATCCACCCTTCCCCTTTCACCTGGGTATGAGACAAATGAAATTGTGAGTGACCATAGCAGCAAAGATGGTCCGTGAATTCAGTTTACCATTGATATGCGATAGGCTGGGAATACTGGTTGAGTTTTAAGCATATTTCCAGCACTCAGGCAATCCTTAGGCATTAGTACAAAACCAAGATTTGGATCTCGATGTGGACAATCTTATCCTTCACACAGTTTCATTCTATCCCTGACGCCTCCCTTTCTAGAGTAGTTGAAGTCATCTAGGGATATGACTACCCCTCGGATAGCAGGGCTCATTCCATAAGTAGGATCAGTGGTGAGTTGTGGGAACAGGGAATGGAGCCATTGGGGTTGGGGAAAGAGGAATGCCTTAACTTGAAAGATATTCATGATTTCTACATAGAGGGAAAATACATTTTTCTTCAATTTTTTTTTCAAGGCACTTAATAAAAAAACACAGAAACTGGTGTGTGTGTGTGTGTGTTTGTGTGTGCATGTGTACACACGTGTATGAATAAGAATCTCTCTCTGGGGCAGTGTGGTTAGCTGTTGATCCACAGTGCTTGCAGACTGCTCATGCATATCCATGCTCTGACTCCTAGAAGGCTGGTGTGTGACCCAAAAGAGAAATCAGTGTTTTCCAGCCTATCAAAGAGACTGAGCCACCAAAGTACCTTCATCAGCACTGCTCAGCTTTGCCATCACATGACCACCGAGGCTGGCATCTCCTTCTCCTTTCTGGCCAGCACTCAGCAGTTATCTCTCACCCGTGGAGAATACAGCCAAGAGCCTGTCTTTTCTTACCTGGTCTCTGAGAATATCAAACAGAGCTATTTCTTGGCACTTAGAGACCTGAAAACGGTGTGCGTATGTGTGTGTACACGTGTGCAATGCACACATATGTGACATGAACATGTTTTAGAAGAACAAGGAGGAGGGAAAAGAAAAGGCAAAACCACCAGCTGAGGCCCCACCAGGAAAGCCTCCCAGCCACCAACTCTGGGTCTCGATTTAGCGAATGGCTCCTATTCACAAAGCACTTTAAGGCTCGTCCGCTTTGCATGTGGAGGTGCGTCTATGGATTCTGATGTGTGAAGTCTCCTTTCTGGTTTGTTTTAATTCACATATTAAGAAAGAGTTGTTCAAGCTGACCCTAAAATGGCAATTTTCCCCTGGATAAAAAAAGTTAAAGGCAACAACATCCTACTAAATGCTAGGACTGGAAACGGCAGCTTGTCAGGTTGGCTGGCAGAACCTACACCACAGCAAATCCCTTAGGTCGCATGACCAGCAGAGGATGGGATAAGCTGGACGGCGCTTTTTGTTGTTGTTGTTGTTGTTGTTTTGTTGAGTTTTATTCTCAAGATGGGAAGGCTGAAAAGACCCCTTGCTTTTCAAGTGCTGATTGGAAAGCAAAAATGGAGAATGACAATCACATTCCTCTTTTCTGTTGGAGAAGTCATTCTGCCTCTTTGAGTTGCTCACAGACCAAAGAAATAAAATATAATAATAATAATAACAAACTC